AACACTTTTCTCTATATGAAAAGGTGTTTAAAAAGATTTTGGTGGTCAGCATACACGTGGACAAGTTTTGAAAAGTAAATAATGATGAGTTAGAATCTCCAGTGGTCAATCTTAAAAAATCCATAACTTTTGAAAGAAGAGCTATACGACCAAATTCTTTGGAGGTTAAAACGAGGACATCGTATAGTATCTATCGGCAAAAGATCATCGAAATCGGAGGATATCAACTGGGGACCTTCCCTCGTTAGACTAGAATTTGGCTATGAAGACATTTACACAACTTTCCAAACTTATAAAAAATGTGACATGAGTATTTTCTAAAAACTCAAAAGTCTCATTTTCAATCGAATGATATTTATGACACGACTACAATTTGATCAATAAATTCTGAGATTAGAAAGTGAGAAAAACGATTGTTAATGTAGGGATAAAAGCGGCTATTTATTAAATTATTACATTCTATTCTACTTGATTACAGTTTAACATAATTCCCGATAGCTACAATCTATTTCAAGACTGCCGAACATTTTTTGAATTAACTTTTTAATTAAATGAACAGAGATACAAATCTGTGAAAATCAAAAAATTATTTATTCTCTCATAAAAAAACTCGTTATAGTGTCGCTTTTAGTTTTTAAATAAGGATCTGACATTTGTTCTGCTCATGAATTTTCTCTATCAATACTCAGATCGATTCTATATGGAAAAATAATAGTTTTTCTAGAAAATAAAGCCAAATAGTATTATTTATCCAATGTAGGCAAATGTTTCAAGATAGACCTAGATTTAGTTGTAAAAATTTCTTGGCAATTGTAGAATAAAAAGCACAATTGTTATAACTTCTGACGTATTTCATTTATTCAGGAAAAACAATCGTTTATTCGGAAATCAGATAATACAGTAGGATACCTTATAATGCACTTAAAAACAATTCAAAATCATCAAAACATCAGTCATTAATGGTATAAAAAAGGTGTGTCAAAAACAACAAATTAGTATAAACATAAAAAAAAGGATATTTCCATAGAGAAAAATCAGAACAATAGAAAATAACTTTCGACATTCTTGCAAGAGATTTCTGCTCCGGAATGTAGAAAAATGTTGAATACACCATCATGTCCAATTTTTCCGATCAAAAATGGCTGTGAACTAGAAAATAAGTAACGAAAATTTCAAACAGTACTCCAGAATACTTTATTTTGTATTCTCAAAAACTAGGAAAACTAAACAAATTATTTGTTGTATTATAGCTGATAGGGTGTATGAAAAAAACATCAGCAAAAAGAGAAAATGAGTCCATCTAAGTGTGTATGCTAAAGCAGTTTTTATACATTAAAAGTTGATGCGACCTATGTACTTAGGCCCAATTATTTTCAATAATAAAAGTTATATTTTTGAAATAGAATAACATGGGTAATTATGGACAAATTCAGACAAAGTTAAAATCATTTACTGGAGTAAAGAGTATTGTACAGATGAATACTGTTGTAAAAAATTTCTTTAAAATTATATACATTAAATAGCTCTAATTGAATTTTTAGTGAACATGCATTGCGCAGAATTGGTACTAACTATCAACGAGTACTCTAAATGCAAAATATTATTAATCTTATCAAAATTAAACATTATACAACGTTTGTGATTTGTCTATAATATCGTATTTTTTCTAGAAGTTTTAGATTTTTTCTTGTTATGGGTTTTTTTAAAGCAGTGTTCGGATTTTTTGTGACAAATTCCACATTAATCGTGAAAAAATTCTGGTTATCTTTCTGAATACGATTGGCTGTGCATATGGTTTAAATCAAAGCTCCAATATTGACAAAGTTTCATACCATCAATCAGTTGCATTTGTATTAGAAAAATGATAACCTGACTTCGTTCACGATTAATCAAAGGTATGAAATATTTTCGCCTAAACGCAAGAAGAAGCAAATCTCGATTTACGTCAGAATAACGTTAAAAATGCTTCAATCGCGATTGAACAAACAAGGAAAAAAGAATCGATTAGTCATAATTGATTTCTAAACCGCGACTGACACGGACAAAAAATGAAAAGAGAACGGAATTTACATAGAATGGAAAACGGTTTGATAAGTAAATCGAAATTTGTAATTAAAAGAGAATGGAATAAAAAAAATGGAAAAACTTTTTATAACAGAAAAAAGAACGTTTTTCATTTATGAAAATAAATAAAGGAAAAGTGCACGGTTTTTCGTTGAAAAGAGTACGGTTTTGAATTCTGAAATAAAAATGATTGAAAAGAGAACGGATTAATTAATTAATTAGTAACCAGAATATCCTCGCGATATTCGTTACTGATAGAAATTCGACTATCATGCAAAATCATATATATTTACATATATGATACCTGAGTAAAAGTGAACAAAAAATACTATCCATCCCAAAATACAAGATCTGTGGGCATTTTTTGAATAACTTTTGATAGGAATGAGATAGAGGCCTGCGATTTTCGCTGTTCAACAGCCAAGACTTGAGTAGAACTTTTCACAAGCCAAAGCAACTTTTGAAAAAATTCCAGAGATCGGATTTTCAGAGGATCTTTGGAAAACGAGCTCCGTTCTCAGAAAACTAACATACAATGTTAGTAATTCTTTTGCATGCGTAGATAGTTCGGACGTTACTCTACAAAATTATGCAAGTCCCGGCTCTCTAGCTATCGTCGTTCGGGCAGGGCTCGCTTTCCCCGAGCACGTGTCTATCTCCGTGCAGACATCTCTGGAAACCTCAAAATGCCATGGACTATAGGTAATCGACTACGCTGAGCATAGTTGCAACATTTGTTTTTGTGTAGAAATGAATATAACTTTGCCAGAAGCATTGTCGTGAAAAATCGGTTTTTCGCCTGTTACTAGCAAAAATTAAAATCCTTATATCTCGATCAAACCTCATGCTGACTCAAGGAAATTTTCAGAAAACGCTCAGGACAGCTCATAAAACATAATCGAAGACGAAAAAGGTGAATGTGAGCTGAGCATTGGCTTAAGGTTTTCCAGAAACCTTCTGAAAAACCTCAGAGCATCAGTGTTCTGCTGGATCACTTTTGCTGACTCAAGGAAATTTTCAGGAAAGGCTTAAAAGCTGCCATATGTTGTTGACCATGCCGAAAAAGTGAGTAGTAAAAAGATTAAAAGGATTTTTCCCCATGACGCTTGAAGACCCGGTTCCCTGGAAACTCAGTTTTTGGGAAACTTTAAAAAATAACCAAAACTTTTAGTAATCAGGCATGATTGTAGCTCGCAAATTTCTGATTAAAATGAGACATCTTCCAGCTCTACATGATCTTTCTTTGCAAAGTTATAGAATTTACAAGAAAAGTCCCAAATGTTCATTGTCAGCTCAAAGCTCAAGAGGGAAACAGCTGATTTTTGAGCTTAAAAAATCGGTTGAAATCGAAAATCACTAAAAAACGCTAAAAATCTTTAAAAATCACTAAATTTCTAGGAAATCTCTAAAAAATCCTAAAATATCTTCAAAAACCGCTTATGATTTTATCATTTTTTTCGTTACTCACTATGTCTGATTCTTATTTTGTACAAATAAAGCAGATTCCGCACTATTTCCCAATGCAACACTATTCCCATTTCCCAAACAAATAACAGTAAATTGGAAAAAATCGCTGAAAATCTGTGAAAATCGGAAAAATCCCAAAATCAGCTGTTTCCCCCTTGTCAAAGCTACAGAAATAAGAAATTAATTTAGGACTTTTCTTGTAAATTCTATAACTTTGCAAAGAAAGATCATGTAGAGCTGGAAGATGTCTCATTTTAATCAGAAATTTGCGGGCTACAATCATGCCTGATTACTAAAAGTTTTGGTTATTTTTTAAAGTTTCTGAAAAACTGAGTTTCCAGAAAACCGGATCTTCAGACATTATAAGGGAACATCCTTTTAGACTTTTTACTAGCTCGATACCCTCTATCGATCGACGTATGAACGAACGAAATTGGAAGGTATCACTTGGATAGGATTCTTCGTTAGTGTTAGGGATTCGGAGTCGCTCAACCCTACTAGTAAGAATAATACAAGAAAAACTCTTACCCATCGATATCTCACTGGTCCACATGGAAACATTTTACGTGCCATTGTTTCTAATTCAGCGTAAAGTTTTTCATAATCTTCCTTGTGCATCTGATCACCAGTCAAATGATCTTTTCCACCAACAATTAATAATTCTGTTTTTCCATTTGGTGATTTATCATCAACAGCTAATCGATGATAATTATAAATATCGTGTGTATCCCAATAGAGTGCACGCTCAATTACTCCTTTTTCAACTTCAAATGCCACTAAAATATATACAAATATGTTTAACTGACGAACAGTCCCTGATAAGTGAAAAATCTATACGAACTGGCATATGATCTATATTCTGCCATTTTTGTGAACATTGTAAATCGATCATTGATCGGTACATATGTACCCAATACCATTTTTTTACAATTAATTCTATGATGATTTCTTGTTCCAGCATAAGTACCTTTTTTCTCATCATCAACAATATCGTCCACATGTGTATTTGTGTAAATTGTAACGTTTGGCATTTCCGACATCAGTTGAGCCATACCGCAGAGATATTTCAATGGATGGAACATGCCTTTAAAGACACTCTGTTATCAGTGAAATAGACCCCAAAATATTTATGACCAGTAGGATAACAACGTAGAAAAAAATTTACACATTAGATAAAAACCTTGAGATAACTTTTCGAGTGACGAGGACGCTGAGAAAAAGTTTATATAAGGTAGAAAAAAGTCAAAAATGAAAAAAGATTTGTATAAAACGAGGCATCTCCTAACTATACGGTCTTTATGGCTAGAGTCTGTTGTCTCAATCATTGTCACTTTCGGTACTGTGTGTAGTGAAAAGATTTAAAATATTTATCTAGATTAACAGATCGCAATTCAATAAAACTCATTAATTTCTAGCTAAAATACCTTTTTAGGTCAGCAAAGGATTTACCATTTATTTTCTTTGTGAGTTGCTGAATGGAGACGTTTTCATACACGTGCGTCATTGAATAACCGATTCTTTCACAGAGAAAATTACTATTTTGCTAATATAAACTCATACGAAAATCATTACTTTTGGCCTCGTTTAGTTTTCTCGAACTTTCTTTAAACTCTTTGAGTATTCTTAAAAATTTGCAACAAAAAATTGCTAAAACCGCTATTATGCTTTAAAAAAATCTCATTTTACACATCTCTGGTGCAAAAATTTCCATACATCATATACATACCTTGATTTTTGAATTTCAACCAATGAGGTGTTGGATATACCAATGGATAATGAGGTAATTTATCTTTTGAATCGATTAATTCGACATCCATGCCCGCTTTTCCAGCAGCTACTAATTCTTTATCAATAACTTTCGTTTTATGTTCTTCTTTGCCAGGTATTAAATAACCATCCAAACGTTCAAAATCACATGGAATCTTTTTTGATAAATTTTCAATAAAATCCACTGATGCTTTATTCGAATCACAAACTAATTTTGACACTTTTTCACCATACATCTGTTCAATAACATAATAAAAATCATCAATTTCAATTTGTAAATGAGCCGTTGTACGACCAGTTTCACCTGAGTAGTTTTTGAGAAAAGAAATAAATAAAAGAAATTTTCAACATAAGAAAAAATATACCAGAACAAATTTCTCCATCATCGACAACAATAACTTTTTTTGTTGGATCAGTTGTTGCCAAACAATATGCTGATGTAAGACCGGCTAGAAAAATGTAAAAGATGTTAATCGATTCCTCTCTTTACAGAATAGAAAACGTTATTTGCGACCCATTTCTCTTTTAGGCTTTTGTATTCCATTCCATATAAAAGACAGAACTATCTCTTTTGTATTCATTCATACCTTAACAAGTTTTTTCACATAAGATGCACCAATCCGATGAAAAATGAGAAAAATATAGAAAATCTGAAGCACGAGGACATTGCCCTGCTCTCACTCTCTTCCCGAAGCTCTCAAATACTGTTTAAGTATATTACACAAGACTTCCCAATCAACCCGTCACAATATTCTGCCATGGTCAGGGTACGCGTATAAGCTATTTTTTAACAAGCACACATTTAGCATGAGAAGTCCTTTTCCCTACTGATACTTTTTTCTTTTTCACTTTTGTATGAGCAAATTACCTCATGAGAGAACCTCACGAACTATCATATCGTTTTATCAGCCAAACCTAGTGGGTTATACGTTATCAACTATGTTGAATCCGAATACCATAGTGGTAGCCAGAGCCCTCACAGAGCGTTTTTCTGGAAACTCAGTTTTTCAGAAACTCTAAAAAGTAACCAAACCTTTCTTAATGAGGCATGATTGTAGCCCGCAAATTTCTGATTAAGATGAGACATCTCCCAGCTCTACACGATTTGCGGGCTACAATCATGTCTCATTAAGAAAGATTTGGTTACTTTTTAGAGTTTCTGAAAAACTGACTTTCCAAAAAACTGCTCTATGAAACCGTCCTCTGCGCAGCTACCACTATGATATTCGGATTCAACATAGTTGACAACGTATAACTCACTAGGTTTGGCTGAAAAAGCGATTTTCGCAAGGTCCTCTTGTCAGTAGTAGCACGTTACGTGGCATACAGTTTTATCAAAGCAAACGAATATCAAAATTTTTGTTTATAAAGCTCTACTAAACACTTCTAGATAGTTTAAAGCTGTTCCCACGGGTGCAGTATGATGTATACGACCGTAGTGGATGTACTTTAGCCAAGTACTTGCGCAGATACTTGGATTAAGTAATAAGGACGGTACTGGTGGACTTTCTCAAGTAAATTTCAAGTACTTGAAAGTAAAATGTAAGTATTTGGCTGACACAATACAAGTAAATTTGCTTGAAAAAGTTCAGTCAAGTACTTGTTCTATTTATTTTTATTTCATACATATTCTGGATCTGTACTGTACTTTTGTAGAGCAAATACATTGACGGCTGCTAAGTTTGTTCAACTCGCTTGAAATATATAAGTTTATATTATAAGTGTATAAAGATTGATATTGTGGTGTTTATATAAGGTGCGCGTAATTCGAAATTTGCACATGTTTTGTTTTTCTTTAAACGACATATATTCTGAGGCGTCTTGGTCTGCTGATCACGAATCTGACCTTTTTTTTCAGTTTTGAAAGTCGCTTCATGGAGAAAATTGGACGACAATGAGAACTTCTCAAAAATGAAAAATACATGCCGCCTCAAAAACTAAGCTCTATCTCCGTCAAATTAAATTCGAAAAATTTTTCTAAAATTATATTCAAATTCCTCATAGAGAACTGTTTTTAGGACTGTTTTCAAGCTTTATCTTGATTAGAAAACTTTTCAAAGCAAAACACCTCGACTTTAGGCATCTAGCATTAAATCAAATTTTGTAGATTCCACATAATAACTAGCCCCTCCATTCTTACGCCATTCGCAAGGCCAAGTGAAGCGCAAAAAACTAATGATTTGATTTTTGCCCATGGCTCTTGAAGTCTCGGTTTTCTGTAAAACCAGTTTTTGAGAAATTCTAAAAAATAATCAAAACCTTTCATAATGAGACATAATTATAGCCCGCACATTTCTGATTAAAATGAGAGGTCTTCCAGCTCTACACGACCTTTCTTTACAAAGTTACAGAATTTGCAAGATAAGTCCTAAATTAATTTCTTCTTATTTCTACCGCTTTGAGCTGACAATGAACATTTAGGGCTTTTTTTTTTTTTTAGTAACTTTGTAAAGAAAGGTCGTGTAGAGCTGGGAGACCTCTCATTTTAATCAGAAATGTGCGGGCTATAATTATGTCTCATTATGAAAGGTTTTGATTATTTAAATTTTTGGGAGACGTCTCAGTTCGAAGAGAAGGCTTTCTTCTATCAGACTATATATCAGAAAAATTTTGAATACATACGAAAGGAAAGAACACTTTATGAAACTAAAATATCGAGTCTTTTCAGGCTCTGAAGGAAAAACTCAAAAAAATTCAATAACTTTCGCAGGAAGCAAGAACTAAGAAGCAATAAGAATCTTTTTGAGTCTTTTCGCTATCTCAATATACTCTATCGATCCACATATGGACGAAGAAAAACTACGTTGGTCACTTGAAAATGATTCCTCGTTAGAAAAGTACTTGGATAAGTATTGTCCAGAGTAACTGGAGTCTTTTGCAAGTAAAAAAGGTACTTATCAAGCAATTTAACAGATAGAAATACTAGGCAACTACTTCATCGAGTATTTAGCAGGTAACTTGGTAAGTATTTTGCGAAATATATGCAAGTATCCGAAGTTCTTCCAAGTATTTTGCACGCAGTAAATCTAAAAATGCTTGACAAGTATTTAATCAAGTACTTTAGAAAATTTGCAAGTAGCTAAGTACTTGATCTCAAGTACATTCACTAGGGTCTCATTTATGGGAACTGTTTAACTCTATAGCTTCCTATGTGACACATATTTTGCATCTTTTCCATATCACATATATTTTCAAGCAAAATTAACAACATATCTGAGATTAGAAGACAAAACAACGTTGAACGCCAAATTTGATAAGTGTTTTTAAACAAATATAGTTTATCAAAAATTTTTCGAAATATATCGGGTGTCCCAGGTAAAATGGCCCTTTTTTGTTTTCGCGATAACTCCATCATTTTTTTGTGCAATCTGCTCAAACCTTTTTTTATACGATGCGCCATTTAATTCTCTACAAAAACACGTGTCACCAATTTTCTCGGAGTAGAAATTCTTAGAGTTATAAAAGAAAAGGTGAGGACGTGTAAAAGTGTCAACTTTCTAAGCCAAAGTTGCCGCACTTTCTTTGGCATTTTCGGCAAGTGAAACCACGCTAACTGCTTTAATTTATGTTTGTTTCTAGTACTTTAAAGTATACTCTTTCTAATGGCCTACAAGTAACGTCTGTTGTCCACTAAGCTGGCTCAAAAAGTCAAAATTTTTTGCAAGTACCAAAAAATTCGGCTTTTTTTACAACCTGTGTCAAATAGACATGCGGTGTGCCAAATTATCAAAAGCGATTTCATCGACCAAGTACGGCTACAGACTACAAAATGAAAAAAAAACTATCGAAAAAAGATGAGTTTGGGCTGAGTTATGTGGATTTTCGTGGAAGAGATAAAAAGATGATTGCAAAATGGTTTTTTCTGAGAAAACAGAAAAATTTCTTCTCGGTGATGCGGGCTTTGGAAATTTTTTGGAAGTGACTATCTGATAGAACTTTTTGCGGTCTTTCGAATGGCCGTCTCAGATTTTAGACTCTAAGGAAGATTTTTGAGAAAAATCATTTTTTGCCTTAGAAAGTTGGAACTTTTACACACCCTCGCTTCTTCTTTTATAATTCTAAGAATTTCTACTCCGAGAAAATTGGTGACACATGTTTAATAAATGGCGCATCGTCTAAAAAAAAAGTTTGAGTAGATTGCACAAAAAAAAGATGGAGTTATTGCAAAAACAAAAAAGGGCCATTTTACCTTGGGGCACCCGATAGAACCGTTAAAAAGAATGGTATACGTTTAGGGATATTCAGTATGTTCCCTACATATCCCTTGCCTTAACCGCCTCAATAATCTGTTGTATGATGTACTTAGCATTAACCAACTAGGAAAAACCATGTCAATTAGCAGCTCCAACTTCACTATCGACGATCAATAAGATGACAGCTTATTGAAAAAGCACCTCCGTTATCTCTCCTATCAAACAACAAAAAAAAAGTGGTTAGTATTTTCAGTTTTATCGATAATATCATTTTTTGAAAATAAACTCTATTAACCAAGCTACAAATATCTGCTCCCTAAATCGATAAAAGATGAATATGGGTGATGTTGTGCTATCATATTACTTTGGTTACCAGATTATTTTTTTTTAAACATAATATACAAGCTCTGGATCTTTACCTATTCCGGCACCAACGACGAGAAAATCGCATGTCTCATCTTTATCTAACGATTTGAATGTTGGTCGTTCAACAGAATCTAACCAATAAGATAATGTAGCACCACTTGAATATTGTCCATCTTTTGTTTCACTTATTCGTGGTGCATTGACTGATGTTGATGAAAAACCTGAAGATGACGAGGACGATGATTTTCTTATTGTAGAATAAAATATAAAATAGCTTTTTAATGATGATTGTCTTGTTGACGATTTAGTATTCGTTAAATAAAATGACGTTGACGATAATGACAGACATCGACTGGTAGAAACTTCCTTTTTTATCGTCATCGTTCTATTTAATAGGCATTTCGTTTTCGCAAAAAAGAATTTACCTGCCATTGTTGTTGATCGGTTTATTTTATTATAATTGCAACGATTCGTTACTCAGTTTCTTCGTATAAAATAATCTAAAAAGAGGATGAATTTAAAAGCTAAAGGAGAGATATGAACGCAAACAAACAAGGCAAATGAAACATACAAACTTTTCTAGCCCATTTACAAGGAATATGTCAAAAAAACGTAGACAAACGAAATCCGAATGTGATAAACAGTAAAACTTTGACATTAAATAAAATTATGTGACCGAAATACCTTTAGACCTCATTATCATCTTATTTCATTGTTTTACTGCGAATTGACCTGTATAAGTGTCCTGAGTTGTCCACTGAAAACATTTTACCGGTATGATTATTCTTCGACCATTAGTCGTTCACTCTAATGAAATTGAAACAGTACTCGCACATGTAGAATTCGCCTACTTTTTCTATTCATGCTATGAACACGCACGTAGACCGAAAATTTATATGCGTGCACCGTGAAAAAAAACTAGAACAATAAAAGGCTATTTCATGAGACAAAACTTATCAGAGTTCAAACGTTTGAAGTCGAGTGGAGTTAGGAAACTTCAAATTCAACTCACGAGGCAACCTCGCGAATTGTCACGTCGCTTTTTAAGCCAAACCTAGTGTGTTATACGTTATCAACTATGTTAAATCCGAATATCATAGTGGTAGCTGCTCAGAGGCCTTCACAGAGCGGTTTTCTGAAAAACCAGTTGTTCAGAAACTCTAAAAAATCACCAAACCCTTTCTTAATCAGGCATGATTGTAGCCCGCAAATTTCTGATTTAAATGAGACATCTCCCACCTCTATACGATCTTTCTTTGCAAAGTTAAGAATTTACAAGAAAAGTCCTAAATGTTCATTGTCGGCTCAAAGCTACAGAAATAAGAAGAAATTAATTTAGGGCTTTTCTTGTAAATTGTAAAACTTTTCAAAGAAAGATCGTGTAAAGCTGGGAGATGTCTCATTTTAATCACAAATTTGGGCGGGCTACAATCATGGCTCACTAAGAAAGGTTTTGGTTACTTACCTGACTTTTCAGAAAAACGCTCTCTGAAGGCCTCTAGGTAACTACTATTTACCCCCCCCCCTCATTACCCCTTGTCAGGCCCGTGCAGAAAAAAAAACCTACTTTTTAGCGTTAGAGTTACTTAATTCTGGTCTGAAACTACATTGACAAAAACGTAAAGGTACAAAAAAGTGGCAAACACACAAGTTCCCTTTGTTAATTCGTCGGTGTATTCCTTCAAGTAAAATGAAAAGATAACAACTTTTGATATGTATTTTTTTTTCGTATTTATTTGCACTTACAGAGTTAAGCAAAAAAGAAAATTGAAAAGAAGGCGCGCTGTACATGAATGTTGGAAAAGTTACAAGTAAATACAATGAAATAAAATTAAAAAATATTTGTAAAGATATTATTCTAGTTGCAAAAAAATGTGTACAGATTATATAACATAAAAAAAAGAACAGAAATGTTTAATCTCTCCTAAATAAATAAGATAAAACTTCTATGATCGCTTTATTTTCCTTTGAATGATGATTTTAAAATTAATTATTAGTATCAAATTTGCTAAAATTTCACTAACTTGTGTCATATCACTGTCGTACATTTTCAATAATTCTCCAGTTTGTTTAGAATTGACAAAATTTCAGTTATATGAAGCATGTTCACATCATATATTGACAGTAATAACGATGATTATTGTGACGGACGTGATGAAAGCATAACAGACACCGTTATCTATGTTAGTGATCAAATTAAAAATTCATTTTTCGCTCACACTAACAACATCCTGAGTATGACTGACTAATCTACTAATTTTCAGTGTTTAACTCAAGTGTAAATTTTTTCAAAGATAACAGATGTGTAGAGAAAACAATTCTCTACAAGGTGAGCTATTTTATGTTTAAAAATAATTAACGACTGATGAGGTATACAGAGTGGCGGCGTGAAGGAGTTGGAGCAGGAGGGCTGTAGTTCCAAAAACCAGAATAAGTTCAAAAACGTTTTCTGGCAAGTTTGATAAAGTAAAATAGCCGATACAAAACTGGCCATTTCTTCATTTCGGACGTACTGTTGTATAATCAGTTACCATCACACTTTGTAGACACACGAGGGAAACTGCATTCTTTTGTTGTTCCTTCATAAAAAAAATAGAAAACAAAATACTAAATTCTACGACCAGTTGTTTTTGGAATGTTTGATTACTATCCATTCCAAAATACAAGAGCATCGGTTGCTTTTTGAATAACTCAGCATTAGATAAAGATAGAGACTTGCGATTTTCACCATTCGAGAGCCAAGACTTGAGGCTACCTTTTCATAAGCAAAACTGATTTTCGATAAAGTTTTCGAAGCCGATTTATCAGAAGATCTTTGGAAAACTAGCTAGCACTTTCCGAAATTCAAACAGGAATCTATTGACTTTTCTCATGTGCTGATAGTCCGGGGTGTTCTGTTCAAAATGGGAGTAAAGTGAGACCTTGATTTTCTGCGGTTCGGGCGTTGTATCGGATTTCCGATGAGTCCCAGGACTGGCACCCGGTGACTCTTAGTAGCCTTAAAGACGGATGGAATATGGATAATCGACCATGTCGAGCCTCGTGGCAATATTTGTTTTTAGAAAAAGTTTTGAAAATCTACCGAAAAGCCAGTTTTACGAAAACTAGGGTTTTCAGACTGTTTTCACCTAATATTAAAAAATTCACTATTCGCTCACTAAACATCAGGACGAGTTCAAAATCTCAGGATATGATTAATATTGTCCGCTGAAAGTGATTATAAGATCGAAGAAATCGAAAAGTATATTTTTTTTAATAGGTTTTCCAGAAACCCTGTTGGAAAACTCTAGGGTTTTACTTAAAATTTATTTTCAGATCTTCTATAAACAGAATATAGAATAGCTTAAATACTCCACATTCTGAAGGTGTGAACTCGTCCTGATGTTTAATAAGCGAATAGTGAATTTTTTAATATTAGGTGAAAACAGCCTGAAAACCCTAATTTTCGTAAAACTGGCTTTTCGGTAGATTTTCAAAACTTTTTCTAAAAGCAAATATTGTCGCGAGACTCGACATGGTCGAGAAATCAGTTTTACTTATGAAAAGGTGGCCTCAAGTCTTGGCTCTCGAATAGTGAAGATCGCAAGTCTCTGTAAAAAAGTAAAACTAGGTTATTTCACCAGGTTTTTAGAAACTTTATTTGAAACACAAATGTTGCTATGAGATTCAGTGTGGTCGATTACCGATTTTTTCATTCGTTTTCGGAATTAACAACCTAAACTGTATTGTACTATGATGCCGGGACTCTTAGGAAATCCGATGCTACGCCTAAATGCCAAAAAATCGAGAGCTCGCTTGACTTCCATTTGGAACAGAACACTTTGGACTATCTAGTCTTGAAAAAAATAAAACATTCGCAGCTTTTGAGCTATGGCACGGTTTTTTAAAGATCTCGTACAGAATCTACTTGGAAAAAATATTTTTAAGTCTTTTTCTGTTAAGAAAAGATGTGGTCAAGTCTTCTCTTTGGAATGGCAAAAACCGCAATCCTCTATCTGTCATTGTTCTTAACTGATTCAAAATATGACCGAATGCACTAGTTCATTGGAAAGACAGTTCGAATTAATTTTAAAAGTTCTAATGCGCTGCTATTGAACTATAAACTTCTATCTTTTGATAGAAAGTCTTGAGATAAAAATCCTGTCTTTATAATGTTACAAGTTCTTCGTTCTACATGGGACAAACACTTTCCAGTAGCTGTAGTCTACAGCTTGTGATATATGTGTATTGAATAATGTGCAAACGTTCTTTTATAATACAATCTTTACAATTGGGAAATACTTTGAACAGATCATACGATTTCTAAAAACAGGAAAATCTTTTGTCCCCATAAAAATTTCAGAATTAAAGTCGTACTTTAAGTGTATACATCTAACATTAACCTTGTGAAAGAGCTATGTGGCTTTTCAATTCGTAATCTTCTTACACTCCACTACGCATATATAGTCACATGAACTAATTCTCTATTTAATCACCATGCATTAATGGAATACTACACTGGAAGATTTCGTTTGATATTTCGCATGCAGATTGTTTGACGCGAACTTAGGAGTAAAGCAAAAAGCAGCTTAGATAATAAATAGTATCAGTACGTGGATAAAATGACATGTAATTCTATTAAAGAATATCGATTTTCTTTGTTTATATATTGTTTCCTAACAGGAAAAGAAAAAGTCATGATAGTAAATCTCAATTATATTTTAAAAGTAAAGTAGATTGTTCTGTCTTGCAACGTTATTTATATTGCTCTCAACGTATTATTCTTCTCAAAGACATTTCATTCAAAAGAGTTCACTCTTACCTTAAATTGTGAGCACGTTCGTTAACTGTCTCTCGAAAGAAGAATATACATCTATCGTGCGATTATAAACTTTATTTGTACATCAAACAGATTCGAATAAGGCTAACATGTGTCTAAAATGTGCTTCCTTTTTCTTTTTTCCCCTTATAACCCTAGATTTATCGTTATATGAAAAATATACGCGTGGCTTCTGTGTATACTACTTTGTGAATAAAACTTTTCTTCTTTTCTCCTATTCGACTGTTCTTCTACTTTTTTCTCGCTCAGCTGTATTTATATTAATATTTTATATCACGCACTAACATTAATAAGGACTGACTTGATCTCTCGTTTGGTGATTATTTTTTTCAATACGATAGCTATAACAATGTTAAGCGTTCACTACAGCCAGTAAGAACGTTGATATTCTATTAAATAAAAACTTAAAAGTGAAACGACAACCCTAGACAGCTTAGGGAACGGTTCAAAATGTATTCCGGTCGGTCGGTCGCTATTCCTCTATTCCACTGTTACCCTATTTCTCAATTCCGCTATTCCTCTCTATTCTCTGACTATTCCTCTGTCATTCCTCTATTCCCCAATTATTTCTCTATTATAGAATTTAAATTCTAATTTATTTTATTTTATTTTG